TATAAGTACTTATCGTACTTTAGTTTATATTCAGTCTAAAGCCATAAAGTATTATTAAGACTTTGAATTGTCATTAAGATATTGAAAGTTTTCCTTTAAATATTTCTTAAATTTTATAAATACCTTTGAGTATTTTGAAAGCTCCATCAAAATGGTAACAATATGAACTTAATATTTCTTGTAATCATTTTCTTTTAATTAGTAATATTTCTATTAATATACTAGCTGCTTCAGCTTGAAGTTTTTGTTGATAAATACCTGTTTTTTTTAATCTTGTTAGTCAACCATTAGAAAAAGTAATACCTGTAATACCAAATTCATTAGCAAAAATTTTTGTTTTTTCCTTAAGAATATTATCTGAAATAATTATTTCAGTAGCAATAGCTTGTGTTATTCATAATTCTAATGCTCTGTCTATTTGAGAATTTTTAATATTTTGAATACGAGCTGTTGTTGTTACTTAACTAGTTTCATTTAATGCTAAATAAATATTTGAATTTTTAATAATTTTAAATATAGTAGAATGAGAAAGAAATAATTTATGATATTTAATATTAAAAAAATCAGTTATTTTTTGATATATAGTATTCGGATGTTGTTTATTATATAATCAAATCCCTTTATAGTCACCACCCTTGGGAAAGCAAAATTTGGTGACTATAGAGATGATTTGACTATAGAGAGATTTTTTTATATAAATAGTAAAGCAAAATAAGGTGACTATAGAGAGGTGTGACTATAAACGGGTGTGATTATAGAGGAATTTGACTGTATATACAAATTTTTTACAAAGTGCTTTGGTTATTACAGAACATTTTTTAGTATTATTCATAACTTTAATTTTAGAATGTAAAGATGACATCATAAAAATTCCTCTATAGTTACTATTTGTATATTGGCTGAATTTTTATTAATAAAAAAATCTCTCTATAGTCACTATTTATTAATCAATTATTTAATTTAATTTTAATATGTGTATATTTATTTGATATATATATATATTTATATATGATTATACATATATTTATATATATTTGTGCATATATTTATACATGTTTATTTATTATATTATGGATATTAATCTATTATCTAGATATATTATTTGAATTAGATGGTGATTATAAAGAGATTTTTTTTATTATAATTAATATATACTATGAAAATTATTTAATAGTAATAGTGATTATAAAGAGAATGCAACTATATAGAGATTTTTTTATTAATTAAAAATTCAGGAAAGCAAATTAGATGATTATAGAAAGGTGTGACTATAATGAATATGACTATAGAGAAGTTTGACTATAATTTTTGTCAAGTACATATAGATTATAATCTTTTAATTTGAATTTATTATATAGAATTAGAATCAATAATTTATTTTTAATATTAATTCTTTTAAAGACAAGAAATAATTATAATATTAATTGGCATATAATTTTAGAAGGTATTTTCATGATAATAAATAAATCAATTAATATTTGTTTAATTTTTTCTTCTAACTCTTGTTCATATTTATTAGTTAATTTCATAAATAATAAAAAACTTGATTTAATAATAAATTTTAGTTTTAAATTTGAAATAATCTAGTAATTTTATTATTTTTGTATTATATATATGTATAATTTATTATAAAAATAATAATAATAATAGTAAAAGTATAATAATAAAGAAATATTATTAATAAATTATCTTTAAACTTATAAATTTTATTATATATAATTCTTTTAATTATAAATTTATTTTATATTATAAATTCTTTTATAACTTTAAGAAAAATTTGGTTAAAAAGTCTTTTGCTATATAAATATTAATCAAAAAACTAAAATAATAATATTTTAATATTTTAATTTTTTGATATTTGATATTTTAAAATTTTAAAAATATAATTAAAACTAATTTAAATTATAGTTATAATTTAGAAATTTATCTTTAATTATAGATATTTTAATATTTTTATAATAACTAATTTTGTATAAAATAATATTTTATTTTATAAGTAAAAAGCAAATTTGAACTAGAATTTCATTTAAAATTTAAGTTTTAGTAATTTTGTTATTTTTATATTATATACTTATATAATTTATTATAAAATATAATAAAAAATATAATAATAAAAAAAATATTATTAATAAAATTATCTTGAATTTATAAATTTTATTATAAATAATTCTTTTAATTATAAATTTATATACACATTCTTATACTATATTAGAAATAGTAAAATATAGTAAAATTTTTATATTAATATTTATTAATTTATTAATAAACTAACAAATTTTAATATAAAAAATTTACTATATTTTACTATTTTTTTTCAATTTCTAATAATATAATATAGATATATATATTATAAATTCTTATCTTAAAGAGATTTTTTATTAAAAGATATTTATTATATAAATATTAATAAATTGAATTAGATCTTTATATTATATGTAATACAATTTGAAAATTATATAAAAAATTTAAAAAATTATAAAACTAAATATTTTTTATATATAAAAATCTGTTAGATATTCTAATATTATTAAAATTGGTTTTATTTGATATTAATTAATAATAAAATTAAGAAAAAAATTTTTTAAAATGTGTTATTTCTTGAAATTTTTGTTATATTATATGTAATATAGTATAAAAAATATTTTAATTATAAAATTATTAATAGCTATCAAAAAACAAAAATAAGTTATTAAAAAATTTCAAGAAATTTTATTTTTTGAAAAAAATTATAAAAAAATATTTAATTAAACAAAACTTTAATATATAATTATATATATTTAAAAAACTATTAAAAAATATTTAAAAGTATAATTAATATATTAAATTAGTAGATTATTGCTATTAAAATATATCACAATATAATATAATATAATATAATATAATATAATATAATATAATATATTAACAGTAATATAAATAAATTCAATCCACTAATTAAAGAACTGAAATAATAATATTATTAAATAAAATAAAAAAAATATAATTGTTTAATAAGGATTTAATATTTGAAATGATAAAATTTAACTTATAATAATATAATAAAATATTAACTAATAAAATAAAGAAATATAATTGTTTAATAAGGATTTAATATTTGAAATAATAAAATTTAACTTATAATAATATAATAAAATATTAACTAATATAATCTATAATTTTTAATTTTTATTTATAAGTTATTCAAATATTCGATTTATTTTGTAATTAATTCTGTAATTTTATTATAAATATTTTTAAATTTTTTAAAATTTTATGTTTTTTATATTTTTGAAAAGAAAAAATTTTGTAATTAAAAACAAAATTTTATTAATAAAATTTTAAAAACAATAATAATAAATATTATTTTTTATAATAATTTACAATAAGATTATCAAAGACTAAAAATTAAAAGAAAAATAAAATAACTATTATATAATATAAAATTAAAACTGATATTCAAAATTTTTTTTAAATATCTTGATTTTGATAAAAAGAGATTAAATATGAATTTATAGAATTTTAGCAGGCAAATTTGCCTGCTAAACTTGATAATTTAAGAGATATAAATTTTTGTATTTTTTGAGTTTTTTAAATTACAAAGAGCTCAAGAATTCAAAATTATTATATTATATAAATCTTTAAATGCACAGTTAACTCTCTAAATACACATTGCTGGAAAATATATGAAAATCAAACCTGAAAGTGCGTTTAGAGTTTGTGCATTTATAAAGCATTTTACTAACTTGGAACCGAACCAAGATGTGCATTTATAGAATAGAAACATAATGTGTGCATTTAGAGAGAGTATAAATTTATATTTAATTTAAAATGTGTTGAACACATTGTAATTCTAAAGTTCGTAGGATTCTTATATCAAACACTGAATAATAACCAAGAAAAATCAATTAGTCACTAACGCTAATGAAAAGATTACTCTAATCTAAGCAAACTAATAAATACTTGGATGTATTGTAAGGAAAAATCATGCGAACACGCCCAGTTCAATTTCATATCAGTTAAAAGTTGTAATTAATTGTAGCATTTATGGAGCCATTAGAATGAAACATCCTTTGCAGTTCTGCGACTATTCCTATAAATATAAAATGTGGATTGGAGCCGCTTACCTACTTAACCGCTCGTCTACGTTTTAATAGTTTATTTAACCGCGACTTGAATATTATGTATGCAACGCGGCTGGTGGTAGAGATTCTTGAGCATTAGACTTTGACGAGAAAAGATTACTCTAATTCTCTCCTTAGTAAAGATATTTGATGGTAGAGAAATATGAACCTGAACCTAAGAAAAAACCTACTTGGCAGTGCGTTCACATCAGATAGCAATTTCTTTTAAGCACTCAAAAATCAAACAAGAAAGTTACTCATCAAGGGTAGCGTCATATTTGGGTAAATTATTTCGTGTTCCTCTAACGCTAATCATGAAATCAAATTCATATGTAATACAAAAAATAAATTCGGAAGTTTCTTTAACATCGAGTTTTTAAAGTATCCAATAATAAATTATATATAGTATATATAGTTTGAAGTAGATCTTTTGGTTTAAATATTTTTTTACTCAACTGTGCTCAATAATAATAATAATAATAATAATAATAACAATAATAATAATAATAATAATAATATAATAATAATAATAATAATAATAATGTCAACTACTTCGCACGATACACCACCAGGCCAAGACGACGCTGCTGGCACCGACATCGACCAATTGCTAAATTTGATTGATACAGACCTGGCCGCCTTTACTCACCAGAACTTGAATGGCTCTATCTCACAAACAAAGACTTGGGAACAAAGCAATAGAGCTTCAGCTTCCTCCATTGCATCAAATTATCCGAATCTAACAAATAATAATCTTTCTAATGCTCTTGAACGACAATCTTCGACAGCGAATCGAATCTCTTCACAGGGCTCCTCACAAGCTACACAACCAGCTGCTTTATCATACAGTGTTAATAGTATTTCCTCGAATGCTCTGCCACAGCCATACAATGGTTTTCCTCAGTCTTATAATAATCCAACGCCTCAAACTTATACTGCATTACAACAACAATACTATGCACAACATTATTTCCCATATCAACAATATCACAATTCTCAAAATTATTATCCTACTTATTATCCTTCATATCCTCAAAATTTGACATCTCAAGGGTGGCCATTAAACTCTCAAACTCACTCAAATGTAGGTTCAAGGCCATTACCAACACCTCCCGGTACTACAGCTGCTACATATTCGAATGCACCAATAACATATACGAATCCTTATAATTATTATAGCCCTATTGCAGGAGCTTCGTATAATTCCATCCAAAATAATGGAACTGTTGTACCATCACAATATAATATGCCAAAATGCACTATGCCTGATTTTACTACCTATGTTGATCCCTCTTCGACTCCTGTTATATCAAAAAATGATTCTACATATAATAAACCGCCAATACATGTTGGGGGGACAACTAATGCACAATCAACCGGTCAACCAGCATCAATATTACCATATGATGCTTATCCTGCTGTTGAAAATAATTACAGGTGACTAGTATTAAAAAAAATAATAATATATTAATTTTCTATAAAAAATTTTTACTAACAATATTGATTGATAGTGATGATGTGACATCTGTTCAATATAATCGACTGATACCGAATAACTTGTCATATCTTCCGCCCGGAAAAGAACCGATACATTATCCATCAGAAGATTCAACATCTACAAATAAAGCGCCTATATCCCATATGCTGAATGGATTAATGAATCATGTTTTGCTTTCTAATATCGCTTTAGCTTTTCGAGCAACTGTTAAACTGGGAACCCATGAAAATGGTGCTTTGGAGTATCCGGAGAGTTTTACTGGGGCAGATGCAGTGGTATGAGATGGTTAATTATATATGTTGCTTTATACTCGATTCTTTCAAATATCATTGTTTTTTGCTCAACATTTTTTTTAAAAATTGTCGTTTTTAGATTTTAATAAGGTTAGAATTACGACTTTATTTTTAGCTTTTTTAACTATACTCTCTATTATCCATTTTCCATTTTCTCTTATCTTTCACTTTAGACGACTATAGCCTCACTTTTGCCCCCATCTACTCCACGACGCATCGCATTAAATATGGCACGATCATTAGAAGCACAATTATATTTTCATTCGGTCGATTGGTCTATAAGCAGCGTCATAAAGGACACTGAAGAGGAAGTATATACTTTTCTCAGTCCAAATCCTGGATCACCAACTGCATTGGAATGGGATGAAGATTTTCCAACTGGTGTTTTTCCTAGTGTTGGGAAATGCTATAGTCCTCGATGTGGTGTTGATGGTAAAGGATGTTATTCTAGGACTTGTCCGAATTATATTCCATCAGAGGTAACATTTTTTTTTTAATTTAATTAGCCGTAATATTTTATATTTTATTATTTATTGATTTACTTATTTTTTAGGAGGAGGAGATAATTCGCCCCGAAACTTCATTAAATAGACAATCAAGTGTTATTTCTGTAGTATCCGAGATTTCAGATACTTCGGTAAGCATCTAATTTAAGTATAAGTAAATGTTTATAATATAATTAAATTTTCTGTACATAATTAAGACGCTAGTGCCACGATCCCAAGAACGCACTTGGATTAGCTTTGTGCCCAAAGAAATATCTGATAAAATAGATAAAGAAGAGAGAAAGAGACAGGAAATTATTTATGAAACAATTTATACTGAAGAAGATTATGTTACGGATTTAGACTTATTAGAAGAGGTATTAATTTTATTAATGTGTCAGTCAATTCTTAGAAATTAAATTTTAATAAACTTTTGCTAAAAATTTACATGAATATAGCTTTATGTAAAGGGGCTTCGTAAATCTTCACCGCCAATTATCCCACAAGCTCGTTTTGAAGTTTTCATTCAAGATATATTTTTCAATATTTTTGATATACGCAAGCACAATAAACGCATGTTAGAAAAATTACGAGAAAGACAGCGAGAAGGACACGTCGTAGAAAAAATTGGGGATATATTTTTGGAATGTTCATTAGATTTTGGAAATGATTATATTTTATATAATGGGCATTTTCCGTTAGCTGATATTTTAATTAAAACGGAGAAAAATAGAAATCCCGAATTCAGAAGCTTTTTGGAGGTATTGCCAACAAATCAATTTTTGTGAAATATATTTACGTATTTTTGTGTGATGATACCAAAAATTTGGTGCATTTCATCGTCAGTTAATGATGGCAATAGATCATCGATTAATATTTTTATTTTGTTTGAAATATAGCAATGCTCCAGAAGACCGGAAGCACGAAAGCTTGATTTCCGGCATTTTGTACAACGCCCTACGCAACGCTTACAACGTTACACTTTACTTCTTGAGCAAATCATCAAATACACTTCTAAAGATAATCCCGATAGAGAAGTATTGGAAAATGCCTGGCAGACTATTAAAGAGTTATGCCGAGAAAGTGATACGAAAGTGCACGAAGCCGAGAAACGGTTAAGAATAATGGAACTTGATCGTAAATTAGTAAAAAAGAATGGAGATTTTTGTGTAAATATTTTTTGAGGTGCTGAAATGCTGTAAATTTTAAAATAACTAACTCACTCATTATCCTTTGCTCTATTAGCCGGAATTAAGACTTTTGGATTCTAATCGATCTTTGGTTTTCAAAGGGGAATTAAAAAAGAAACGTTTGGAGTGGCTTGAACTTTATGTTTTTCTATTTGATCATTATCTAGTGATGACAAAACCAAGAAAAGGAAATGATGGAGAAATTAAATATCAAATATCAAAAAAAGTATAATATTTTTTTTTTTTGCTTTCTGCCCTTCAATTGATTATTTTTTTGTGGCAATAATAAATAAATTTATCTTTGGATAGCTTATTCCATTGGATATGCTAAAGATAGATACTTCCCCGGAACAACCACAATTAAGGCCAACATTTAAACTTATTGATCCTCGTAAAGGAAAAACTCATACTGCTGGAGCACCTGGAGCTCCACCTTTAGAGGCCCATTTTGAAAATCCCGATAATCTTTTACATCAAAAATCCTTGTTTCCATTCACCATTATCCATCTCGGTAAAAACGGTGGATCATTTCAATTATTTGCAGATTCAGCCAATACTCGAAAAATTTGGAAAGATAAAATAATTGAAGCACAAACTAAACTTCAACTTAGCAAATCACATCAACAAGTATTTGAATTATTTACCCTCGATGATGCAAATTTTGGCTCTAGTCCTATCTTAAATTTAAATAATAGCGGTGGAACTACAGCAGCATGGAAGGGGAGAGTAAATTGTTCAGTGCCATTTGGTAAGTAAAGATATCGAAGCAATAAATTTGTATTTACGAAGCTAAAAACATTTCTCTAAAATTTATATTATTAGTTACCCCCGAAAAGCGTAATATGGTGGCAATTGGTACTGACGATGGCGTCTGGATGGGATTTGGTGGGGAAACTAAAACATTCCGGCATGTTTTAAGACTCAATAATGTAATGCAAATGGCTGTGTTGGAAGAGTACTCTGTATTTATTGTATTGGCAGGTTGCTATTAATAATTGAATTACATATTAATATATAGAATGTATTTTCTTTCTGACTATTTATATCTGATTTTCTTTTCGTATATAGATAAACTTCTTTTGGCATATTCACTCGAAGTAATGATACCTTCATCGAATAATCCTCCTGCTGCAGGAGCTCAGGCATCGAAGCATCCTCAGCGACTGAGTAATAACACTAATGTCCTGTATTTTAACGTTGGTACCATAAAAGAGAAGACATTTGTGGTTTACATGAAGAAGCGAGGTCTAGAAAGCCATTTCAAAGTTCTAGAACCAGTAATTGCTGCGAACGGTAACGAAAGGAGTCGAGGATTTGGGACCCGCCGGTTTGGACTGGTAAAAAATGACTGGTTCAAAGAGTATAAAGTGAGTGAGAGTTTATTTGTAATTCATATTTTAATTATTAATGCCATATCAATTAACTTTTATTTGTTTATTTCTGCAGCAATTCTATATACCCTCTGAATCGTATTCAATAAATTTTTTGCGTTCGAAATTATGCGTTGTTTGCACTCGTGGCTTCGAAATTGTCAATTTAGATTCTTTGCAAAACGTAACAATACCTGATTTCGGAAGCCAGGAGTTCGAAAAAATTGCACGAAAATGCGAGAATTCTAAACCGTTAGGCATGTTCCGACTAGGGGACAATGAATTCTTGTTATGTTATGATGGTGAGTTTCTATATAAATATATATTATTTGAATATAATAGTAATAGATGAAAAATATTTTTTTGGTAGAAATCTTTTTCTATGTGGATAAACATGGTGAATTATCTCGACAAAGAACTGTAGAATGGGAGGGAAAGCCTACAGCAGTTGGTGAGTCCTTTTTCATCGTTTGTAAGTTATACAAGTATAATAAATAATATAAATATTCATTGATTCTTTGTCATTATTAGCAATGCAATATCCTTATGTGATCGGCTTTGATCAACAATTTATTGAGATACGACATGTCCAAACGGTAAATTGAAATACATCATCATTATCATCGAAATTATCTATCACTTATTAATTTTGTTTTATCTTTTTTAGGGAGACTTGGCACAGATAATAACCGGGTCTAGCATGCAATGCCTAAACGAAAATGGTTCCGGAAGGCATGCTATTCATGGTGTTATGCAGCATCCATTCAACGAAACTTACTATATCTTTCAACTGGTTATGGCTGAAATAAGAAGAACAAACAGTATAGTTAGAGCTGGTGGTAGTGGTGCAGGGCAGTCATAAAAATATAATTAATAATAAAGATGGTAATAACTTTATTAGAATGGAACGAGATTTTTGTGGTAGATTTGTTAGCATTATTTTTTATAACACATATTATTAGTGCAGTTTTTCATATTTAAAAGATTTTGAAAATTTTTATTTTTCATTGTATTCTAGAAAATTATCCTAATTCTTTATCTTGTTTTAACGGAATAAATCTATCGATTCTACAATGTTAAGCATTTTATCGGTAACTTTTGTTTGTGGTTTAATCACGTGATTTTTGAGTATTTCGTTTTACATTATCTTTATTGTTATGGCATCATAAGTTATAGTTCTCGAATATTCGATTTACTCAAACTTGTATCTCTTTCAGAATGGCAGATTGGGGTGAGCGTTATTTTCCTGAACTTCTCCAGTAGTTTCTTTGCTCATTCGTAGAATGATACTCTTTTTAGTTTCTTTGCTCATGTTTAGGATACTCTTTACTTTTATAAAATTTAGAGGAACAAAGTTCGGACGAGCTTACTACACCAATTGCTCTTCCTACCACTAAAAAATGGGACGACGAAGACAAAGACGACAAAAACATCAAAGTATTGTTTCTATTGTAGTAACAACTAGTTTATTGCTTTTTAAAAAAATAGTGAATTCTCATATTTTTCATACTAAAAGGAAACCTGGGACGAATCTGAGGAAGAGCAAGAGAAAAAAGTAGAAACAAAAGCCCAAGCGGAACCAACAAAAAAGAAAAGTCAATTACAACAAAAAATAGCGGAACGAAAAGCAAAAGACAAGGACAATGCTGAAAAACTTGCCCAATTGGTGAAATAACATTTTTCATATGTAGCTTAGTATAATAAAAAGAATGAATTCAATTTTCTTATGATCGTTATGATTAATTGAAATAGAAAAAGCAACAACAATACGAGGAGGAAGAAGATCCGGTCGAGAAAAAAAATCGGCTTCGCAAATTACAAGTTGAAGCTGATCTTGAGAACGCGGCAAATACATTCGGGGTGGATCTTGAAGAACTTCGAGGTCAATTAACTTATTTACCAAAAAGAATACATTTGTACTTGTTATTTACCTCACATATTTTCATCCTTATTCATATTTTCAGTAATCTCAACATATAAATACCTACTATATATATATATACATAAATACATATAATTATAAACAGCTGGACAGGTAACTCTGGACACGATTGATCCAAAAAGTAGAGAGGAATTCGAAGAGTTCGCACAATTGCTAATTGCAAGGATTAAAAAACATGAGGTGTTTATTTTTTCTTATTTCCATTAAATAAATTTATTATTTTTAACTCTTTAACTCTTTAAATTATTCATTATACCTAATAGAAAGAAGGCTATTATCCAACGTTTCTAAACAACTTTTTTCGAGAACTTTGTATCCCACTCAAAGACATTGACATACGTAAAGCTTCTAGCACTTTGTCTGCATTGGCTAACGAAAAGGCAAAGGCGCTAAAAGAAAGTAACAAACCAAAAAAGAAAGGTACAAAAAATGAATTTGATAGTTTAACAAAAAAATGGATTTAACTTTCTTTTAATCAATCAGGTAAAAAGCCTTTCCTTGCAGCTGAGAAAGGTGCTTCGATTGACACAACAGACTATGGAAATTTAGATGACGATTTTGATGATTTTATGTGAAAAATAATCTTAATAATAATAATGATAGTAACCCTTAGAATAGCTAATTTTATTTGTACCATATATTTTCATATTACATGGTGAAACTCGTTAATCCGAAGACCATCTATATCAAGAATTTCACATTTAAACCGAAGGTCATACAACCCAATAAAATTAAATTTAAGGTTACGCAACCAATTAGATATAACAACACAACTATATTAAATTTTTTACGTTTAATCCGAAGCAAGTACAATATATCTATGTACGTACATGGATAGTCAGTCATATTTATGTACGTACATTCATATATGAACACTCGTGGGTGATCGACGTAAATACATGACTATAATCGTTAATTGTTAATACACAAAAGTCCAATTATAACGTGCAATAGCTCGTTAGAAAGCTGAAATTGTAAGCTTTCAAACAACGTAAAAAAATTATTTCAAACCCATCCAACACTCGCAGAAATTGCCAAATTACGGATTTTGAGCGTGACGAGATACGTAATCGGTACTTGGAAGTGTGGTTTTTTTTCCGAAAAAGAAATTGAAGAAACTCTAGGACGACCCAAATCCACAGTTCATAACGTTATACACAAATATAAAAAGTTTGGCCGAACCACAGTTGCTTTCCGACGCGGTAGACCACGAATATTAAATTCTAGAGCCACCCGAAGAATAATTATTATTGTAAAATCGACAACAAGCAATTAACGAAGTTACCGAAAATGTAATACTGCTTTGGAAGTTTCTAAAACCGTACGTCGTAATCTTCATGAAAATGAGTTTTTTGGTCGGGTTGGACTAAGAAAACCTTTTATATGGGGATGTTTACTCAATGTACTTCGATCACTAATCGAAGTTGAAGGTACAATAATCGGAAAAAAATATGTAGAAATACTTGAACAGCATCTTAAACCATTTTTAGATGAATTGCCAGCTAGTTCTGTTCATCTTTTTCAAGATGATAATGCTCCAGTTAATGAATGAAAAGAGAGAACTTCACTTCCATGACCTGACCAGAGTCCTGATCTAAATTCAATTGAGCATTTACGAGATGTTTTGGAAAGACGAATTTGTGCATGACCAATTTATCCCAAAAAATCAAGAAGAATTGATGGATGTACATGTACATGTACATGTACATGTACATAGTGATTGTCATATTCTACTCATCATATCTATATGTAATACCTTTTGAGATTTACCAACTTGCAAAGAAAGGTGGATACATGTACGCATAAAGCAACATTCACCATTACGAGAAGTGGGATCATAAAAAATAAATTTAAACTCAAAGATGAATATGTAAGTTGTGTTCAAATTACATGTACATGTACATATACGTACGTACATCAGAATTTATCAATGAGGTAAAAATGAACACACTCTAAAGTTGATAATTTTTTGTTTTCTAAAAAATCAACTTTTTTATAGATTAAACACATGGAACAGTCGTAGTTAATAACAAGGGAGATTATGTGCTGTGAATATATTTCGATAATCTTGCATCGGCGGTTAGTCTTATCCATCTCTCCAAATGAATATTTCTGGCATTAAAAGTTCTGACCGTGTCGACTACGCAATCAAAAAAATAATCAAGGATGTGTTGGAAGAAATCATATCCATAACTGAAGCCTATCAGGAATTGGTGTCAAAATCTAATGCAATGCATATTTTTTAGCTTGGCCCCCCATTTTAGATAGAATCTAGATACAATCAAGACAAATGGAAGACTGATAAAGCATTCAATACTGATTATGAATATGTCTATTGTATGTGTATTGTTATAACAGATGAGAAAATCAATCCAAAATGATTATTTTTTTCCAATACTACATGTAATTAATTAATTACCAAGTGGTATTTCATTATAGCACTGAAGGTATCTACACTATGACTAAAACTGACAATCTGACCAAATTGTTTAAAAAGTATTTTATAGCTAATAGTGGGTTTATTGCAGAATAGATATGAGTTGTCCCATTTTGTATTTATTATTTTTTGCTATCTCTTGCTTTTTAGCTGAAGAAATTCAATGAAATGGAATTCAAAAGCTTAACTTTAGAATACTAAAATATAAAGATTACCTGGTAAGACTAAGAATATGTACAGTTATAACCAAAAGTATCTGATCTTTCTATAGATCATGTATAATGCACCAAATTTTTCCAAGCACAAAGAACATTACAAATGCTGATTATTGATATTTTTATAGGTTGATAAAGTTTTTATATCAGAAATTGTATACTTATAAACTTTCATATTACAAATATAATTAGTTATTTTATAATATACATCTCAATATTTAATAATCTAATTCTTAATATTCAGTAATCCAAATTGAACAAAAAAATTACTATTTGATTCATCTAATTAAGCTAATCAAATAGTAGTATTTTTGTTCAAATCAGACTATTGAATATTAAAATATTGTATCTTAAAGTAGCAGCTTCATTTTTTAACATTAACAAAAATTAATTAGCAGCCAATTTAGAATGTAATATCTTGATCTCCAATGATCTGATTTGAACAAAAATAATATTATTTGATTAATATAAATCAAATCACTAAAGATTAAAATATTATATATATATTTAAATTAATCAATTCATTTTTTTAATAATTATTTTTAATAAAAAATCGATCATCAAATATGGATCAGTCACTTTAGGACATAATATTTCAATATTTAATGATAAAATTATTACTATTTAATTTATTTAAATTATATAAATTAAATAATATTGAGATATTATATTTTAAAGTATCTAATTTATTGTATTTAAATATGAAGTTTATAAATATATAATATTTAATATAAAAGCTTTATAATCTATAAAAAAGTATTAATAATTAGTATTTATAATATTTTTTGTGCTCAAAAAAATTTGATATATTATATATGATTTATGAAAAGTTAAATAGTTTTGGTTATGATTATATATTATTACTTATTTATTTTTATCATTATATAAAATATTTCGAGTATAAATAAACTAAACAATTTATAAATATATCTTAATATTTATTATATATTTATCACAGAAAATACTTGTAATTTCTAATTAAAATATATAATATTAATATAAATTTGAATATAATATTTTTTTCTTTTGTTATTGTTGATTGTAAATTTTTTATTTCTTTTAAATATATATTGAATAAAATTTTTTGACTATAAATACATATATAACATATATTATAAATAGCTAACCAACTTTAACAAGGATAAAATAATAATTTTTATTAGAGTTTTAAGTATTTGCAAGTTATAAAAAAAATAAATTATAACCTAATAATAGAAAAATAATCTTTTGTCAAATATATATACAAGAAAAATAAAAAAAAATTTGTCAGAATTTGAAAATTACAAATTTTTAACAAGCAAAAAAAATTTGCATATTTCTAAGAAGTTAATAAAAGATAATTTTGTAATATTATTAACAAGAATCTTTATAAAAATTTATCTAAAAATAATTCTATTTTTTCATAATATATTATACTTATTAACTTAAAAAATTTTAGCTTAATCCTAATTCTAATTCTAAAAAGATTACAAATTAGATTCAAGAAAAAAATATCAATAATTAATATATTCTTTTAAATTTTGCTTTATAAAAATATCTAAAAACTATTATAAATAATATTTTAAAGTATAAAAGCTTTTCAAAAACTAAAAATAAGTTCAAAACTATTTTAAAGAAAATGTAATCAAAATTTAATATATTAGTTTAGAAGAAGATTATAAGCTTAATATTGTAAAAAATCTAAATGATATTGAAGCTATATAGAGAGTAAATAATATATATATTAGTTAATAATAAAAAATTATATATATAAAGCAAAAATAAAATAAATATATATTTAAAATTTTATTTTTTAAAAAAATTAGATATCATCAGAAAATTTTTATATTCGTTAGCAATCAATTTATAATTATACTTATTGACAATTGATTATCAACATTTTTATCATTCACTATCAATAGAAATTATAATTAATTATTAGTAATTATAATTAATTATAATTGCTAATAATTGATTGTGAACAAAAATCATAGAAGAACATTATTAACAATTAATTGTAACCACTAGTAATAGAAAATGATAGTGTATTAATGATCGAATGCCAATGGAAATTGTCAGCAATTAATTATCAATGAGTTTCGTTTACAATCAATTACAATTATGATCAATATCAATCAATAGGAATATTGAAAATTGATTGTTAATATATAAAATAACTAATTAATTACTAGTGAGAATTGATTGCAATCAATTACAATCACAATTATTGCTAATCAGTAAGTTATTGATGCTTAATTATCAATATATATAATTGATAATCAATTATCAATGAAAATAGTTTACAATCATTTGTAATCATGAGCAATATTAATCAGTTAGAATATTGATAATTGATTATTAATTGAAATAATTTGCAATTAATTACTAATGCATATAATTAGTATTCAAATATAATCATACTAAAGAATAATTGGTTAGGATATTGATGATTAATTGCCAATGGATATTGTTAAAAATCAGTTTTATTTTGGATAATACAATTATAATCGATGTTAATTATTGATTTATTGATATATATTATTACAATTATGTTATAAAATTCGTTAATTCTATAATTCATAATATTTCATGAAGTTATGAAAATCATGTAAAGAACTTAGAATGTTTCACAATTTTTTTATATATTATTAATTATAATATTCATATATTTTTATTTTTCTATCTTATACTCCTATATTTTTATACTTTTTATACTTTTTCTACTTTATGTTCTTATACTTTTTATATTTTTATACTTTTTCTATTTTATACTTTTATACTTTTATACTTTCTATATTTTTATACTTTTTATACTTTTATATATTTATATTTTTTATACTTTTATACTTATTTATTCTGAGTAGATATAATTTAGCCAATTAAAATTCCTTGAGATTTATATTTTTCTCCTTTATTTCTCTACTTTCTATATTTAGTAAAT